AAAATTTAAGCAAACCGGAAGTGACCTAACCTCGTCTGAGGCCAAAATTTCGTGTCACACGAGGTTCAAAGAGTGTGAAATTGTCCTGAAGCAATCTTAGAAACATAAAATAAATACTTTAATCGTATGAAAATGATAAGAAATTGGTGCTTGTGACAGCTTATACCAGCTCAAGCAGTCTGAATCATCCTTATGTGGTGCACTTATGTGCTAAGCACCCTAGGATATTGACCAAAGGTATTTGTGTGATGTATACACTGTCATATTGAGGATCTGTATCTCATTGAACACATTTGGGATTTTTATTAGAAATGTCAAAGCCCCCCCCCCCCCCCCCCTCCAATTTCAACGGTTTGGAAGTATCTATCAGTAGGTGTTGCAGCAAATGGCCCAATCTCCTATTCAGGGTAGACTGGTATCCAACAGTAAAAATTGTCTAGTAATTAGAGCAAGTGGTGGTCTTACTCCATAGAGATTATCTTATGCGAAATTTCATTTTGTACATCATTTCCTTGACACTTTGCTTAAAATTCTGCAACCAGAATATTCTACACCAAAAACTGCATGAACATTGAACTTAAATATGCATCATTAACCATGAATTAAAGAAATTATTTATTAAATGCATTTGTTCTTTAAGACTTGAAAAATGTTAGGTGAACACTTAGAAGTTTGGTTCAGTGTATACAATTTATACATAGTAATGCATTACGTATGAGAATATATACATATTAACTTTATAACTGACAATCTTTGTCGTTTATTTACTAAAAAAACTTGTAATTTAAAGTTATAAATACACGTATATAAAGTATACCTTGTGCGAGGTGGAAGCGTCTAATCAGGGCCCCGGATCTGCAGTGATTTGAATCTAGATTTGGCTAGCTTATAATACAAAAGAAACGATCTGATTTGATAGTTCTTTATTATAACAGCCAATGAAAATTCGTAACCAATAGCAATTCAAAAGAAAAGTGTTCACCAAGCAATCCACCTGCGCACACAAACTAGTCTAACTTTACTCTCAAAGACATTGTTAAACTTTGTATTTAGAAACGTAGTCAAAAAGCAAAATTTTAATAAATATATTCAATATATATAAATCCGCGCACACTTAGAATAATTTGAATGATGTCAAAGACAAAGGTACTTGGGTCTTGGTCAATAAATATGTTCTGAGAATGTACCTCATTGATAAGCAAACAGAAACCCATGCGACACAACGTTCACCTTGTGTAATTTTAATCGTGCTGTTCTTCACCAGATTACCCCTTTTATTACCTATTGTGGCCTCTCCCTACCATTGGGTCATGATTTGAACAATGTAGAATTCATACTACACCAGGATACTTTCACATACGTTTCAGTTATTCTGGTCAAGTGATTCTTGAAGATAAGATTAATCAAGATTGTTCTTTTACATTTCAACATAAAACATGGATTTTCTATTGTGGTCCCGTCCTAGCTACCCCCAGGGGTCATAATTTGAACAATTTAGAATCTACACTACACCAGGGAGCTTCCACAACAGTTTTAACTTTTATGGTCCAGGGCCTCTTAAAATAAATTTTTTTTTTATGTTTTGCTTATATATTTAAGTGTAAAACTCAGATTCCTTATTGTGGCCCAGCCCCACCCCTGGTGTCATAGTCTAAACGTACACTACTCCAGGGTGCTTCACATAAGTTTCAGTTTTTTGCCACAGTGGCTCTTGAGGAGAACATTTTTAATGACACTATCATATTTTTTTTATATCTTGTTTAACTGTATATAGGGGGGTTGGGGGTTGGTCCTTCATTTAAACAATTTTAAATCTCCCTCATATCTTGCAAATAATTCCTAAAACGTGATTTTAAACATTTTTTCAAACTTTTTCTTAAACGTGTCTGGAACTAAGTGCAAAGACTAAATCCCGATTCTCTAAACAGAATTCCGGCTCTATTATTCAGACATTTCAAAATTCTAGAGGCATTCCGAACAAAATGAAACAGTTCTGGAATAATTCATGTTACATTCAAATTTCTTAGAATGCCTCTATAAATTTGAATTGTTTGCAAGATGTGAGGGCTTTTTTTATTATCAATGTTTCAAGACGTCTGGTGCATAAAGATCGGTAGGAATAGTATTATTTTCAACGAACTATCCATGTAAACAAGCGAGTTGAGCAGACGCCATTACGTAGCCTCCATATATACCTTTAATACATATCAATAAGGTACATATAAATTTATCAACCAAGACCCAAGAATTTGTGGTCAAAGATGTTTATTCAAAACTTTACATTTAGTCCATGAGCCAGGCCATGAATTTTTGGTATCGGTACCATCTTAGGTGAATAATTTTCATAGTTAATTTTTGGAAATACATGCCTCTCTACCTTCAGAAAATGTATGATAGCATTCAATTGATTGTGGCTTTAATGATGTACACTAACCCAACTTGTTTGTTCTCTCAGCTGTGTCTTTGAAAGAAGGAGGTTTTTTTTTCAATATGCAATTTCTCTCTTATTTTGAATGATATTTTCGTGAAAATTCTTCTGAATGCAGACCAAGCCTTTACCCTTTTCAATTATCATTCAATATTGACTCTGTAATGAACCGTCTAAATTATATACTTCACTTTAATCAAACTCATCACGCAAGTCATTGTTCATCTTCCATCCTCATCATCCACCCCAAAAGCCCTATGAGGACATGCGAGGAAAAAGGTGACAGGTGCGGGTTCACTGGAAGTCGCTAGTCGCGGACCTGCACGCAGACGGCACAGGCCATAGGATTGTTCTTCACCGATCGGAGCAGCGTTGGAGTTCGGCAGCCACTTCTGCGACTGAGCAGCCCTCTTTAGGAACGCACTGCTCACGTCCATGGCAGAGAGGAGCCGATTAGAAAAGGTATCCCAAACAATGCCTGCTCCACTTTTCTCTAGGCAGTTTACCTAGACCCTACACATGCTATCGAAATAACAAAGAGAACAAGTAGAAAACAAGGATCATCACATTGAACCTTGGATCGTGGAATGTTCGAACGCTTCTCGACAGAGACATTACCGACAGACCCAGAGACGCACAGCACTGATTGCATTTAAACTTTCGAGATATAGCATTGACATTGCAGCTCTCAGTGAACCAGGATGGAAGAGCCAAGGAGAAACGAGAAGCTGGCGTAGGCTTTGCTGGCAAGCTAGTCGGCGTACCCAAAGGAGTGAACGACCGCCTGATGATGAAACCCCCTCACTCGAGGAAAGTTCGCCACTAGTATCAGCGCATATGTTCCTATCCTCACTAACCCAGAGGAGGCTAAAACAAGTTCTTTGAGAACCTCCACAATGTCACTTACGCCGTCCCCAACGCAGACAAGCTCGTCATTCTTGGTGACTTTAATGCGAGATACCACCGGGGAAAAGCGTGATTGGGAAGCACAGAGGGGGCAAGTGCAACAGTGAAGGCCTGTTGCTTCTTCAGACCTGCGTTGAACATGGCTTTCTCATCACTAACACCGTTTTCTGCCTTCCCATCCGTAACAAGACGCCATTGAAACACCCTCGCTCAAAGCACTAGCATCTCATTGACTACGTCATTGTCAGGAAGAGAGACACACAGAAAGCTCGTTTGTTCACCAAGGCTATGTGCGGCGCGGAGTGCTGGACAGATCACCGTCTCATCGTCTTTAAACTTCAACTCTCAACATCCGGATCAAACTCAGGATACGTCCTCAGAGGATTAAGGCTTCAAAACGTTTCAACGTTGGCAAGCTCAAGTTGCCTTCCACCTCAGTACTTTGCTGACACCCTGGAAGAACGCCTGAAATCCACCCTGCTGGATGACCACGAACTGGAAGCAGCATGGAGCACACTTCGTGATACAGTGTAAATTATAGCCTTCGAGTGTCTTGGGCCCTCCACAAAAAACACTGGATTGATGAGAACCGTGCTGAGATCACGCAGCTTCTAGATAACAAACATGGCGCTTACATGTACTATTGATGATCCCATCTCCACCTCAGTTCCTCTGAGGAACGCTCACAGCACAGTACAGCAAAAGCTTCGGGATATGCGAGATTCCTGCCTGAATGCCAAGGTTGAAGAGATCCAACGCTACGCAGAATCTCATGACAGGAAGAACTTTTACTGTGAACTGGGGAAGTCTACGGGCCAACTCCATCAGGCTCATCACCTCTCCTCAGTGATGACGGGTTAACAGTCATCACAGAGAAGGAAAAGATACTCGACAGGTGGGCGGAACATTTTAATGGCGTTCTGAACCGCCCTTCTACCATCCACGACGAAGCCTTCAACCGACTGCCCAGGTTCCCATCAACCATTCACTGGACGCCGTTCCCTCGTTGGATGAGATCAAAAAAGCAATTAATTTGCTGTCAACACGTGGTGGGTACTCTATATCAGCTGAGATTTACAAATAAGGGGACGTGACTCTAGTCGAAAAACTCCTTCATCTGTTTGTGCGAGGATCGGCATGACCATTCACCCCCGAGCCCATTGTCCAGGTCAACCCCCTCCTCCACGAAGATAAGACAGTGGTCATCGTCGTCACCGACGGACGAAGAACTAAACTATTATATGTGAGTTGGTATTCATCTTTTTCGTTATACAAATTTATGAGGTACAAGTAATTGTTGATTAGAAGTGGTTAAAATATGCAATGTTTGTTAGAATTACGGATAGTAACTCAGTTAATGCTCTTTTAATATGTTCATCATATCTCTAAGTATATGGCATGTCAAACGTTGCAATATTTGATAATCTTGTGATGTATATTCAATATCTTGTGATGTATGTTCGAAATCTTGTGATGTATATTCAAAATCTTGTGATGTATGTTCGATAATCTTGTGATGTATATTCGAAATCTTGTGTCAGATGTGTGTTCTACAATTCAGTGATGCGTGCAATATGACGCAACAGTACTTCAGTAAAGTAAGGACAAATTTCATTGGTTGGAAATAACGAAAGTAGCTGAAGCGATTGTTTACGGGAAAACTATATTTATTACAGCACTAATTACGAGATGCACGAGTGTTGACCCTGGTGACATGATGGAGATATTTCGGCCTGCTAGGGAAAAAACTCAGTAAACGTAGATATATTGACAAAATTTGTAGGTACTTGTAACGATATGTCACGATACTTTATTGTCAGATACAGTATTTATACATACATGCTAAAAAGTTAAATCTCGTAGTAATCAATACAGCAGAAGAATAATGAAGAGTATACTACAAAAACTGCAATTTGCAGCAAGGTTAATTTTTGTTTAACAGCTGTTTTTATTACATTTTATTTCGTATTATTACTACCAAATACTGCTACCGTTTGTTAATGTTATGCACATGGTTATCTTGTACGTGCAAGTAAATGTAACATTTAATAAAATAATGAAAAAAATAAGTCATTTAGGCTATGATTTGATAATAACATGCCAAATATACATGTTTTGCTTTTTAATTCTCCTTCACTCAGTCTTTGTATAATATATTTTTAGACGAGCTGATCGCCAACCAGGAGATCAGAATGATCGCATCTGCTCCTGCCACTTTAAGGATGGTAAGAAGGAGGGGGACCCTGCATATTTTGCATGGAATGAAGGAAAGGCCATGGATTTCTCTGATCCTGAATGTACAAAAAGGTGAAATTATTTTTCAAAATATGACTGACATCTTGTTTTTGGATGGTGGGTGGGTGGAGTTTAATTGAGAATATTTTACTAAAAATCTTTAAAAGGGTACATGTATAAACAGAGTAGCTTACAACTGAATAAAAGAATATTCAAGTTTATTTTACAAAGGAGGAAAAAACTCAAAAGTGAGGAGTCCCTGTCATCTCACAGATGGACCAGTTGCAGATTCTAAAAGCACCAAAATGTCAAGATCAAGAAAAAGTAAAGCTCATTTAAAACACCAATGGTGACAAATGACCAACACTGAAACATTTTCAATAATTTTTAATAATATAACAGTTCTTTTAACTGTACATCAATTACTCATAATTTACAATATATTTTCAGTTAATATCAGAGCACAACTACTCAGCATCCTGCACATTTAACTGTACTCAAGAAATGCAGCGCCTCTCAACAGAAATACGACAACTGGAAAAGGAATTCTTGCCCTAAAAATAGAGTCTAGTAAAAGGAACCCAATGTCAATTCACTATATTAAAGACAACGAAGAGAAGGTACATTTAAAGGAATTCCACTTGTGATTTCCTATTTTCTAACAATTTCAGTAAAACGTGTTGCCGTTGAGGGATGAACATCTTAGATTGACTGTTATGTTAACATATTTTCTTATTATCATTGAGTTCATAATATTTAAAATAACAGAAAAAAAAATCATTTAATTTGATCTTTGGGTGAATAATATCTAAAACCTTCTCTGTATAAACCATGTTTTACTCTATGACGACAATTTTTTATCAGAACACTAAATGTCTCATTTCAACAGTTTTTAAATAAATGCATAGTATGGATAGTAGCAAACCTGACTGTGACTAATATTGTTATTACTTAAAACTAATTTATCTACAATCTTTTCAGTTTTTGGAAATATTTTAATCAGTATTAAAACAAATTTAATTTCAGATGCTTTTGTATACATCCCTACAGTATGACAGATCTATTCGAAATCTTAGTCAGATTGTTACAACGATTTAAACTCGATTATTAAATGGTTGGACTCCTTCAATGAAAACAGAGGACCAACTGCTCATTGTACTAATGAAGTTAAAACTCAATCTACGGGACACTGACTTGGCTCATAGATTCTGTGTCAATCAACCAACAATTTCGAACATCTTTTTTCATACCCTTGTTCATGCACTTCACAAGATGCTGTCTGATGGCGAAGTCAATGAATGTTTTCCAAGTCAGCTTAAATGCAAAGGTTTGTTTTAAAATTTATCATAATGACTTGCAAAAATTTAATGCAATTAAATTTATTGTATTCTTGAAAGTTTGACTGAAACACAATTTTTTTTTACACAATTACAAATAATCAAATTAATTTTTTTCCAACTTTTTTTCAGGGTCTCTGCCAAAATCTTTTGAGGATTTTTCCTCTGCTAGAGCATCCATGGATGCAATTGAAACAACCCAGGACATCCCAACACATATGGCCAATCAGGCCATGGCCTACAGTTTGTACAAAAGTCGCCATACTGTTAAAGCGGTAACTTGCGTGGCTCCAAATGGTGCACTTACATTTTGCTCCATGCTGTACCAAGGTTCTACTTCTGATGTAGCTATTGTACGTCACAGCCAAGTTTTACGAAAGTTCAAAGCTGGAGACCTTATTTTGGCGGTCAAAGGTTTCACCATTCATGACCAGTTGCCCCAGGGTGTCTGCTTAAATATACCAGCTTTTTTATCGACATGAGGCCAGTTTACCAAACAAGAAGCAGCACTGTGTTACAAGATTGCTAAAGCACGTATTCATGTGGAAAGAGCCAACGAGAGGATAAAGAATTACGAGATTCTCCGTCACATCCCATCTACTTACAGACCAATCTCAACAAAAATATTTCAACTCTGTTCTTGTCTTGTAAACTTGCAAGCTCCACTTTTGAAAGAAATTACTTAAAGATACATGTACTTATCATAAATTTGCATTGGTGTGTGACAGTATGTTAAACTAAACAGTAAAGATATTCATACCAAAGTGCAAAGGATAAGTGCAAAGGATAAGCAAATTTTGATTTGTTATCAATGTCAATGGTTATACTTGTTAACTTTGTAGTACTATGTTGTAATACATGTACTTCAGAAAATGAAAATCCCTTTTGTTAGCATGGATTTATTACAAGAATTAATGTTTGGCAATTCCATTCTTCATTTGACAATATAATTTGGAAGAGGGTTTACTTATAATCTTAAATCTCTAGTTGCAAGTATATTAACCTTTAAAGCACAACTCAACAAATTCATGTTTTCAACAATATATCTATTAAGAAAGACAAAAATGTTACATCTTGAGAAGAAGATTTTTACAGAATTTTCCTATATATTTCTATGTTAAACTTTGGTCAGCCATTGTGGCCCCGCCCTACCCCCAGGGGGTCATGATTTGAACAAACTTGAATCTACACTACCCGAGGATGTTCCTCCATAAGTTTCATTTTTCCTGGTGGTTCTTGAGAACAAGATTTTTAATTAAAACATACCATCAAATTTTCATTAATTCCCAATTATCTCCCCTTGAATGAGGGCGAGGCCCTTTATTTGAACAAACTTGAATCCCCTTCACCCAAGGATGCTTTGTGGCAAGTTTGGTTGAAATTGGGGTTCTTGAGAAGAAGTCGAAAATATGAAAAGTTTACAGACAGACAGATGGACAGACAGCTAGATAGACGGACGCCGAACAAAATGTGATCAGAATATAGCTAGAAATGAAACATTCCTCACCACAAAAGCCAGAAGAATATAGGGACCACCACCAGTAACATGTTTCTGGAAGAACCAAAGCCATAAGAGAAACCATGCAGAGATAAATATCAATAGTCCTGAAGCTTCAATGCAGGACCAAGTACGAGAATTGCTACAAACACTACTCCGGAGACTTACCTTTTATCCTATGATGTAACGTGCTTTGTCCACTGCAGCTGGTTCCCTTATAAGCTGGTACCGAGGACAGCACAGGATGTCCTGTCAACTTTATTCCTCAACTTCCTGTCTTGGACTGAAAAGCAATAAGTGGAAATCTTTAGTGTTGCCTAGTGACTTTGAATTAAAAAGAAAGTTGCAAGATTGTGAAGGGGGGGGGGTATTAATGCTGAGCATTTTAATTAAATGTATGAAATCTGTATTTCACTTAAGAAATAAGATATCAAAGGGTGTTATAGTAAATTTGATCACGTACCGACTTCATGTCATACCCCAATGAAACTCTAAAAATGATATTTTATTTCTTATATTTATATTTTACGTTTTCATTCATTTTGCAAACAAATATAGGCATTATTTAGACTTAGATTTTGAAATGCAATGTAACGTTCCTACGACGTTATGTGACATCATAGTCGGAACTTTCCAAATTGCACGTGCAGTTTGCTTTCCATACACAAGAAAGTCTGATCATGTGACCGACTGCATGTCATTGAAAATTGAATGTCATTTTTTTAGCATTGTCATATAAGGAAAGACATTGGCAAATGTAAATATAGTTTAATGCATTCGTGTATTTTATGAATTGTCTTACATATAAAAATTGTTGCTATGTATTATTAAGCACTAAATCTATTCAACTGCATGTGTAAATGGGGAAAATGTGGATATGTAAATGATGTATAATTGCAATGTGTAAAATGTGACATTTTCTTATATGAGGGAGTCTGTTCATGTAATTTTTTTTTTATTAATCATTTTATTTATCTTGATAAAATTATTTCAATTAACAATATTGTTTTTCTTACCTGTCTGACATTGGCGTCGGAAGCAAATTGAAAGTGGGGGCTAAGTTTGATAAGAAAATTTTGTACCTGACAAGCAAAAAAAAAAAAAAAAAAAAGGCAACACCTTTTCCCAAACTCGAAAATCCTATTTCGTGGGAGGGGGGGGGGGGGGTACGATCGAAATTCAGTACCATAAATTTTTTAAACACCACAACTTTAACTAATTTTAACCTAAACTAAGACGTACCTGTAAAAAGTGGGGGGGCTAAACCTACAAAGATATGTACAATGTCTATACTAAGTATATATTTGGAAAAAAGTGGGGGGGCTAAGCCCCCCTAGCCCCCCCGGTTCCGACGCCTATGTCTGATGAACTCAACAAAGGTTACAGAGGTGAATGGTAGAAATATGGGTATTACGGGTGTCAAAACTCTCCGTTGATGACCAGACTGCATGCCACACTGTATAACCGCCATTTTGGATCTTTAAAAGGGAAGGCTACTCCTGAAATCAAAGAAATTGTCATAAAAATGAGTAACCTGATTTTTCTTAAGGTCTCACACAAGGAAATAATTTCACTATATGTTACTACATAGCTTTAATTAAATAAATTAATTAACTAGACTCTCAGCAGATAATTCATGAATGAGAAAAAAGATTACTGCTTAGACAAAAATTTGAGATCAGAAAAAATATACCCCTTATGCGGCTTTTAAGAAAGAAAATTGAGAGTAAACATACCTATACCCCGAAATACACATGGGCAAACAGCCAACACACCATCGAGGAAGTTATTCATCGATCATGCGTACCTAAAAAAAAGAGTTCCCTTTGATTCAGTGGCACAATTCTGCTAATATGATATTCCTAGTGCATGAGTTCAAAATTAAAACTGTAGACCTACATAAAGTTGCTGAAAATACAAAAAAAGAAAAGAAATATTATTGTCTCTATATACATAGAACTACATTAGACTGAGTTCATTTTGATTGGCTATCTCCTTGCATAAGACCTTTAAGGGGTAATTTTATGCTATTTACCATGTGCACTGATTGCCATAAAACATAAGGAAAAATACCAGCCTTACAATTCACTTGACCTTGACCTTTGACATACTTTACTAAGAATACCCAGGACAATTTGGTTTAACTTAAGACTTTTGAATTTTTAGTGGCAGGTTTTGATAAAATAAGCATTTAATATACTTATGAGCTCATAAAACTGTTCTTTAAAACTGTATGATACAGAGTGTAAAAACTTTGAAACATGTTTGGAAAGTATTATCGCGCACATGTGATATGGGATAATATCACCACAGAAAGATCAAAGAAAATCACCGCAGATATGCGACAATAATTTTTATCATTGTTTATTGCTTGTCAAGAATATGATATATCATTACATATATTATATATCATTACATACCGTATAAACTCGCCTATAGGCCTAAGTCGGTTTTTTGGGAGTTAATCTCTGGTCCAAAACTCTGTCCGACTTATAGGCGAGCTATAAAAAGAATGGTATTATATGAGGTCAGTCCATCTGAAATATAAGCTTATGAAATACAACCGACTTATAGGCGAGTATATACGGTACATTACCATTTTTTGAAGTATATGGGCGTATAAGGCGGGCAGAATGCCTATAGCGCGACAAAAAAGAAGGGAAAAAAATATATCTCATTTATATCCAAATTTTATGTCATATCTCATCTAATATTAAAGTATACTTAATGTAAAATCTCTATAATTTACAAAAATCTCACAAAAACTGAAAATATTTGCCTATGAAAAAGCATACAAAGACTTAAAAGAACAAAAACGATCATTTTTTCATACTTTAACAAAATTTTTCAATTTGATTGGGTCTTCGCTCCATTTTTTTTGATAGATAATCATAACAGTTTGCGATAATATATATATTTTTTGGTTTACACAAAAAATGGAGGGAAGACCCACTATACCTTAAAAATACACTTTTATGACAAAACATTCGCATCGTTCCGAGAAATACTTCAAGTCAATTAAGTCAATGGTCATATCACAAACATGATTTAAATGCCACTGATTCACAAGAGCCATGTAGCATAGTGGTTAGCGCGTTAGTCTCAACGCAGTCTGGTACTTCGATATTTTATTGCCGGGGTTCGAATCCCACGAATACCATGGAATATTTCTATGAATGAAATTTTTAGTGATTTATTTTTTCTCAGAAAATGTTTTTTTTCTCATAATTTCATTAATTTCAATAATGAGATGTAAATTTTTATACTCAATTTACATATCAAATGTGATTTCTTAATATCTGATGCTATAAGCATTCTGCCCGTAATTGAGCCCATCTGTGTTTAATTTATTATGTCTTAAAGGCTGTAAAAACAGCTTTCAAATATTAGAAATTTTTAATACATTTACTATGAAAATAATTGGACAAATTTGTGAATGTCAATAATCAATCATGCATGACAATTAATCTTTTCCTGACATCCAACTTCTCCTAAAAATTTGTCGTGTTATTAAGGTCTTCCGTTTCCAACGGAAGACCTTCTACTGATTCTGATGATTAAGATTATTAAGGTCTTCCGTCTTCAGCGGAAGACCTTCTTGTTATTCGTTTGTTTCTTTTCCACTGTTTTTCTTCTTATTTTTTTTCTCCCCGATTTTGTGCATGCGATTTCTCGAAAACGGCTCGTTAGATTTTTATGAATCTTTCAGGTCTGATAGAACATATTAAAAACTTGATGCATTTTTTTTCATTTTGATGACGTCACTTCCGGTTCGAAAATTTTCGCAATTTTGTGATTTTTAAGGGTCATTTTGTCCGTCGCTCTTCTTAAAAATGGCTCATCACAGGAAGATGAAACCTTGTCTGGAAGATAGAGCAACAAATGTAGATTTGCATTGTGTTGTTAACTTTCACCGGAAGTACTGCACGTTAACGCTCGGTATGGTCTGAAAAAACCATATTGAACGTTTCAAATTTTTCTACACTTTTTCTATTATATCTTTTTACTTGTAAATATTTTGTGAAAACATATATAACAAAAATTGTGAAAAATTCTAAGATCTTTCAGATGATATCTCGAAAAAAGGGCTGACCCCTAAAATTAGGGATCTAGAGGGGCCAAAAAAGTTTTACTTGATATCTCTAAAAGTATTCAGAATTTGTAATACTTCAAAGAAGCAAAGTTGTTCAAAATGTCAAGCTTAATCAATCTGAGTCGTCAAAATACGTCCGGCGTCGTCACTTCCG